TTCCGCCTCTTCTCTCTACTCTCTCTCCTCTCTCTCTATGTACTATCTTCTACTTTCTCTCTTCTCTCTCTCTCTCTCTCTCTCTCTCTCTCTCTCTCTCTATCTCTCTCTCTCTCTCTCTCCTCTATCTCTGAAAAGATATAGAATAGCTAATGGGATATAGACAAGTCTGAAGTGATAGACAGATGTAATGCTGTTATATATAAATAATAATACAACACACACATTCATATATATATATATCTATATAATATATCTAGATATAGAATATATTATATATATATATAGATTCCCTCCTTCGACTCCTCTCCTTCGAGGCGAAAGAGTGCAAGGGTTAAAAGTCAAGGATATTTAAATATGAGGAAACTCCATCCCGACTCTTGACCCGAGGAGGTCGAGTTATTGTTGGTTCAGTTTCAGCCCTCCGCATATGTCGTCTGAAACTATTATATATATATATATATATATATATCTATATATATATATATATATATATATATATATACATATATATATATATTATATATATATATATATATATATATATATAGAGAGAGAGAGAGAGAGAGAGAGAGAGAGAGAGAGAGAGAGAGAGAGAGAGAGAGAGAGAGAGAGAGAGAGAGAGAGAGAGATGGATATATGTGTATGTATGTGTATGTGTGTATGTGTGCCTGCGTGTGTGCGTTTGTGTGTATGTGTGTGCATGCGTGTGTGTGTTCGTGCGTGTGCGAATACCAGCGTTGCGAAGAGCGACAGCACGAATAGCGACGGCGATAATACCCACGGTGCGAATAGTATCTGCGTGTATAACATCGTCACGAATAGCTGCGGTGCGAATAGGAGCTGGTTACGAGACGTTTCGAAGCCTCACTCGTAACCCCCGAGCCTCCTCTCGCAGACTCGTAAAGAGCGCCATAAAGCGGCTCTCACGCGACTAAACACCATATTAACATGTCGGCGTTCGTATATTCTCCTTGGAAGATGCGAAGCGCCGAGATGAAGCATTTGGTGTTTGTAAAAAAAGAAAAGAAAAGAAAAAAAAATAAAAAAAAATAAAAAAATATATGGCGTCTCTTTTATGTGTATGTTTTTTTTTTTATGCGTTTGCCGTTCATGTTATTTTATTTGTTTATTTTGTTTATCCATTCATCTGTTTGGATGTTTATTGGTTTATTGGTTATTTTTTAAACTTCTCTTCCATTTCCTTTATATATTTAATTTCTTCTTATTTTTTTTATACCTTTTCCTTCTTCATTTCCCCCCCCCCCCCCATATTTCCAATTCTAGATATCATTATTCCAATTATATATGTATCTGTGTAAAAGTGTGTGTGTGTGTGTGTGTATATATATGGCGTGTGTGTGTGTGTGTGTGTGTGTGTGTGTGTGTGTGTGTGTGTGTGTGTGTGTGTGTGTGTGTGTGTGCGTGTATTTGTGCGTATGTGCCTGCGTGTGTGTGTGTACGTACAGGATTCATATACCTTCGTATGTTTGCTCGTTACCGTGTCTGTCAGATTGTTTGCTCGAGTGACTCTGACTGTATAACTGCTTGTGTGTATTTGCGTGCATGTTATTACAGTTGCTTGGATAACGCACAATATAGTCTCTGAGATGGAGTTATGTCATATTAGGGGTATTTGGTACCTTCTGGATTTGTGTCTGGTATGTGTGGTATTGTTTGGTATCTGTGCGTGGTTTATGGTATGTGTGGTATTAATCGGTATCTCTGCGTGGTTTATGGTAAATGTGGTATTGTTTGGTATCTCTGTGTGGTTTATGATATGTGTGGTATTGTTTGGTATCTGTGTGTGGTATGAAGTGGGTGAGACGTGTAGTAACTGGATATGTATGGTATAAATTGAACGTGTAGAAGTGTCTTTGATATGCTCAGGATATAGGTTGGTATTTGCTATTGTTTGATAGTGTTTGAATGATTATGTCAGGAATATTTTGATGTCTGTCTGCTTCTCTCTTTCTCTGTCTGTTTGTCTGTCTTTCTCTGTCTCTCTCTCTCTCTGTCTCTCTGTCTCTCTCTCTCTCCCCTCCCTTTCCCTCCTTCCCTCCCTCCCTCCCTCCCTCCCTCCCTCCCTCCCTCCTTCCCTCCCTCCCTCCTTCCCACCCTTCCTCCCTCCCTCCCTTCCCCTTCCTTCCC